TTTTGATTGTCATTTCCATGATGGTTAATAACACTGGGCATCTTTTCATTTGCTTATTGGCCATTTCTAGTATATTTAGAGAAATGTCTATTCAAATCATTGGTCCACTTTTTTCATTTGGTTATTTGCCCTTTTGTTATTGAATTGTAATAATTATATACTCTAGATACAAATCCCTAATGTAATATGTGACTTGTAAATATTTTCTCCCATTTTCCGGTTCGTCTTTTCACTTTTTTGATGATGTCCTTTGAAACACCAAAGTGTTTAATTTTGATCAAGCCCAATTTACCTATTTTTTTCTTTGGTTATTTGTGATTTTGGTATCATATCTAGGAAAACACTGCCTCATCTACAGTCGTTAAGATTTATGCCTATGTTTTTTTCTAAGTTTTATAGTTTTAGCTCTTACATTTGTGTCTTTGATCCACTTTGAGTTCATTTTTGTATATGTTATGAATATAGGAGAGTCTAAGTTCATTGCTTTGCATGTGGATATCCAGATGTCCTGGCACCTTTTTTTAAATTTATTTTTTAATTGACATATACTGATCATACATATTTTGGGGGTACAGAGTTATATTTCAATACATGTATACAATGTATGATTATCAAATCAGGGTAATTAGCATATTCGTCAATGTAAAAATTTATCATTTCTTTATGAGAGTATTTGAGCTCCTCTATTTTAGCCAATAGAGAACACACAATTATTAATTATAGAAGCCTAGCACTACCATAGACCACTAGAACTCATTTCTTCTATCTAGCTGTGATTTTATATCTGTTAGCCAACCACTCCCCATACCCCTCTCCTTCCCAGCCTCTAGTAACCAAAATTCTACTCTCTACAAGTTCAACTTTTTTTTTTAAAGCTTCCAGATATGAGTGAGAACACGTGGTATTTATATTTCTGTGCCTGACTTATCTCACGTAACATAATGTCTTCCAGGCTCATCCATGTTGCCATAAATGACAGGATTTCATTATTTTTCATGGCTGAGCAGTATTCCACGGTGTATATATTCCACATTTTATTCATTCATTCACTTGTCGATGGACACCTAGTTCGATTCCATATCTTGGGTACTGTGAATAGTGCTGCAACAAACATGGGGCAGCACCATTCTTTGAAAAGACTTTTTTCCCCATTGAATTGTCATGGCATCATTGTCAAAAACCAATTGACAGTAAATGTGAGTGTTTATTTCTAGACGCTGAATTCTATTCCATTTATCTATATGTCTATCCTTACGACAGCACTTATCTGCATGTTTTTTTCATGCATTATCTCATTTAATTTTCCCTCTCTATATCTTTATTATATAGTAATTCATCACATTGCAATTATTTATTCATGTGTGTTTCCTATAGTGCCTGTGAGCCCTTGGAGGGCAGGATTCAGTTATTTTTTTCGGTTTATCTTGGTACCCCCAGCAGTGAGCATAGTGCCTCACACAAGGTATGTTTAGCAAATGACTGAATACCATTCAGCCACAAAAAAGAAGAAAATTATGTCATTTGTGGCAACACAGATGAACCTAGATGACATTATGTTAAGTGACATAAGCCAGGCACAGAAAGAGAAATACTGCATGTCCTCACTCATAAGTGGGAGCTGGAAGGAAGGAAGGAAGGAAGGAAGGAAGGAAGGAAGGAAG